ACCTGTATGCAGGTCAGGAAGCAACAGTTAGAACTGGACATGGAACAACAGACTGGTTCCAAATAGGAAAAGGAGTACATCAAGGCTGTATATTGTCACCCTGCTTATTTAACTTATATGCAGAGTACATCATGAGAAACGCTGGGCTGGAGGAAGCACAAGCTGGAATCAAGATTGCTGGGAGAAATATCAATAACCTCAGATATGCAGATGACACCACCCTTATGGCAGAAAGTGAAGAAGAACTAAAGAGCCTCTTGACGAAAGTGAGAGGAGAGTGAAAAAGTTGGCTTAAAACTCAACATTCAGAAATCTAAGATCATGGCATCTGGTCCCATCACTTCATGGCAAATAGATGGGGAAACAGTGGAAAGGGCGACAGACTTTATTTTGGGGGGGCTCCAAAAATCACTGCAGATTGTGACAGCAGCCATGAAATTAAAAGATGCTTGCTCCATGGAAGAAAAGTTATGACCAACCTAGGCAGCATATTAAAAAGCAGAGACATTACTTTGCCAACAAACATTTGTGTAGTCAAGGCTATGGTTTTTCCAGTAGTCACATCTGGATGTGAGAGTTGGACTATAAAGAAAGCTGAGTGCTGAAGAACTGATGCCTTTGAACTGTGGTGTTGGAGAAGACTCTTGAGAGTCCCTTGGACTGAAAGGAAATTCAACCAGTCCATGCTAAAGGAGATCAGTCCTGGGTGTTCATTGGAAGGACTGATGCTGAAGCTGAAACTCCAATACTTTGGCCCCCTCATGCAAAGAGCTGACTCATTTGAAAACACTCTGATGCTAGGAAAGATTGAAAGGGGGAGGAGAAAGGGAGGACAGAGGATGAGACGGTTGGATGGCATCACTGACTCAATCAACATGAGTTTGAGTAAATTTCAGGAGTTGCTGATGAACAGGCAGGCCTGGTGAGCTGCAGTCCATGGGGTCGCAAAGAGTCGGACACGACTGAGTGACTGAACTGACTATTTTCCAAATTTGATGAAAATTGTAAACTTGCAAATCAAGAAGTTTAACAAATCACACACACTGACAACACAGAGAAAACTACTCCAAGGGATATAAAATTTCTTCAAACCAATGAAAGAGAACATCTTAAATTTGACGCCTTAGATTAAATGGGACACATTCCTTGAGAAACACAAATAACCAGAACTCACTCAAGCATAAATAAATAACCTAAAGAAACTTATACACGATCTTTAAATTGAATTTGTAGTTGAAAACCTTTCAACAAAAAAAGTTCCAGAACCAAAAGGCTTCACGGGGAATTCTACTAAACATTTAAAGAAGAAATAACAATTTTATATAAACTCTTTCAGGAAATTAAAAGGGACTAATTTGCAACCCATTCCTTAAGACCAGCATCACCTGATAAAAAAAAAGGATAATTACAAAAAGACTACAATATAATAACCCTCATGAGTATAGATACAAAAATTCTCAATATTTTAGGAAATCTAACTCAACAATATATTAAAAAGACAGTACATCATGACCAAGTGACATTTGTCCCAGGAATGTAAGGCTGAATAAAAATTCATACATCAAAGTAATTCACCCTAACTGAAAATACACCACATGATCATCTCAAAAGACACAGAAAAAGCACTTGATAAAACCCAACACCCAGGGGCTTCCCTGGTGGCTCAGTGATAAGGAATCCATCTGCCAACACAGGAGACACGGGTTCAATACCTTACCCAGAAGGATCCCACACGCCAAGGAGCAACAACGCCTGTATGCCACAGCTACGGAGCCTGCGCTCCAGAGTCTGGGAGTGCAAATACAGAAGCCTGCATGCCCTAGAGCCTGATCTGCAACAAAAGAAGCCACTGCAATGGACACCCACACACTGCACCGAGAGAACAGCCCTTGCTCACTGCAACTGGAATAAAAGAACAAAGATCCAAAACAGCGACAAAAAAAAATCAACAACCAACCTTAAAAAAACTCAGTAAACTAGGAAATTTACAGGTAACTATATCCAACAGTATGTTTGCTGGTGAAAGAATGTACTTTCCTCCTAAGACCAGGACCAAGGAAAAGATGTCCACTCCCACCACTTCTATTCAACATTATACTGGAGATGTTGGTGAGTGTGACTGAATTGAGTGAAAACATACGTAACTAAATAAGTAAGTGGAATCCAGATAAGAAATATAGACCATCTTTATTCCTAGATAACACGACTGTCTATCCAAAATATCCAAAGAAATCTACAAACCAAACCAAACAAACAAAAAAAAAACTATTAGAATGAGCTTAAGGTGGCAGAATACAAGAGCAATACACAAAAACAATTTTATTTCTACATACTAGCAAGTGAGAGAAGCCAGACCCATACACAGGGAAAAAACACTACTCTCCCTCCAAAAAGCATACTCTGTGATTATAGCTATATAATATTAACTGTAGAAAATGCAGACTAATTTACTGTTACAGAGAAATCAGAGAATGGAGAGTTAAAGAGGGGCAAGAGGAGGAATTACAAACTTTGGGGGACAATTAAAGGGCTCACTATTGTGACTGTGTTGCTGATTTCATAAATATACACTGAGTCCAAACATATGCACAGCTGAAGTATGTCCAAACTACTGTGGATAAACTATACATTAAGATATTTTTTTAAAGATACTAAAAAGAGACAACCAAACACAATGTGTAAACTTTGACTAAATCCTACTTTGAAAGAAAAAAAGCCTTAGAAGACAATTGGAACTACTGGGATAAACTGAATATGAATTTGCTTTTAGGTTCTTTTAGGTAAGTATTGCTTATTTTCTTAGTTGATAAAGATGTGGTTATGGAGGTGAGTATCTTATACCTGAAATACTTGCTGAACACTCTCTTCATGATGAATGAAACGTTCAAATTTTATAATAGAAGTACCTACATAAAGGACATAAAGCCGATATACTAAAAATGGCAGCAATCTTTGTGTAAAGTGGTGGTTATATATGTGCCATTGAATTTTTTTTTTTCAGTTTTCTTTAGTGTTTC